CACACTGCTTATGCTCTTTAACATCTTTTTTTCCACTCAGCTGTATGATGTAAATCACTGAAAAATATATTTGTGCTTATTTTTTTTCACACTTTCTTATAGAAATCCAATTACTGGCAGGCCCTAAAGCACCTGAGGCTTCCAGGATGTTTGGGATAGTTGCTTCCAAAATTGTGTGCTCTGAAAGGCCCATTTTAAACACGATAGCTGTAAAGCTAACGTTTTTCATTTGTAAGAAGCAAGAAACCGAAGCTTTTGTGCATATGAAGGGAGTATGTAAAATTTAATCAATAAACTGTTAATTAAAGAACTGATGAAAAACCAGTGGGGCATCAGGGGTTTTCAAGATTTTGGAGTGGGAGAGGGAGGAGGATGGCTCTCAGGGCTTCCTAGACTTCTGGAAGAAAAAAGAGCTCCCCTTGAAAGACGGCACCGCTGCCTGGCACCGGGAAGACAGCCCCACAGAGCCAGCCCTGAGCCTAACCGTTCCTGGAGTCTAGCTGTGTCCCTATAGCAATTTCTATCCTATTCCTCAACCAGAAGACTCCCCTTTGCTGGGCTGGAGGTGCCACCCACTGCCGGTGCTGATGGGTGTGTTAGCTGTCTTCCTTGGGAGAGGGTATCTCGGAGGTACATTGTCTTCTGTAAGGCAGTCCCCTGTACCTTACGTCTGCTCAGCCTGCCAGACCACTCTATTCGGGTGGCTCCCTCCTCCAGGGCCCCAAACACTCTTAACCTCCACTCCCATCTCCAGCAAGTGGGGCCCTGGACAAGATGCGGGGGCTGAGAGATGGAGAGGTAAGGCAGTGAGATCCCCACCAGAGAACCTAAGATTTCCATCCAGGGGTCAAGATCAGGAGTGAAGCTCCCACAGTCCAATTTGGACATGTTCCATAATCACTCTCTTGGAAATACCTGCGACAGCCTACCCTTTTTCTCCTCCATCATTTGTAAGTAATAAAATCACAGCCTTAAATAGACCCTCTTTATCTTCTTTGTACCCACACCCGAGTAGCTGAACGCTGCTAGAGAAAAGCGCAAAACCAGGTTGAGTGGTTTCTCCCTAAACTCACACCAGACCTCACGTGGGAACCTGACGCTACCCCACAGTCCTGTCCTGCTTCCCTCTGGTGGGCCTGCCCTTCCGCTCCTTCCCTAGTGCACCTGCTTCATCTCATAATCACTTACTCCCCTCCCCGCACCTCAGTGGGGTACTCCATCCATACTTCATCACAGAAATAAATGGCATCTTTCTTTTCTTCTCCCATGAAATCTTCAAACTTCTGTCCCTCCCTCTTTTAATCCCTCTGTCTTATTGTACTGTTGGCCAGGCCCCTCCTCCAGCCCAGTACTTCCACTTGTGTTCTGGATCCCATCTCAAAACTTCCTTCCTTCAGCCATTCCCCACCTCTTTTGTATCATCGTTTCCCCTCCTCTCCTATTTTATTCCCATCCGCATAAAAAACGTGTTCACAAGTGTGGAGCTGGCTGGCGCTCTCTGAAGCTGCTCCCAAGTTCATAAAAAAGCCCACTGCTGGGCTCTCCATGTGCCTGGAGCCGACTGACACCTTAACCCCAACTCCCCACTGCAGGACCCTTCGCACACCTGCATTTCTGCAAGATAAAAACATCTTCCCTTGATTTGTGTTTTCACCCTAACAGAACTAACCACCCTAGGAAATAGCCCTGACTATACCCTCGTTGGACAGGTCTCACAGCACATCCTGCCCTCATTGTTCAGAGTGCTCCTGACAGATCTTACAACCAATCAGGTGCCTGTGCAGGAGTTGATCATGCAGCCCCTGCTCCTCGAGTGCACACCCCCTCCCCCCAGTAAAAGCCCCTGCACGTTCACCCTGGGTGCTCACCCAGGCACCTCTATCTGTGTGTTCTGCTGTTGCCTGTAAAAGTGTATCTAGTAAACCTCCCTGTGTTCTTAAACCCCCTCGGTCTTTGGTAAATCCTTTACCGCCCACACCCACTGGCCCACCTTGTGTCCCACAACAAAAAGCATTTTTCATGTTAAAAAGTATCCTTGCTTTAACTCCATCATCAGTTTTTACTTCAGGGCCCCAAGCAAGGAGTCCAAGACAGCTAGTGCTCCAAAAACCTGAACTCCTAGATGGGTTTCAGCAAAGCATTTTCAACAAGGTGAGGGAGGGCCATCCCAGGGTAAGCGATCAGCTTGTGCACAGTTCTCTGGTTGGTTGATGGTGAGATAATAGGGCAGTGTCCCAGGGGTTAACATTATCAGTCCTTAGGTTCCAATAAGCCTGGGGGCTGTGTGCTCATGCTCATCAAATTCCATTTGTTGGGGGATTTTCATATCTGTAAAACAACTCAGGAAATGTGCATCGGACACTGTTATCTGGGTCCTTCAGAGAGGAGCTACAGCAGAGGACGTAGGGGAGGGGTCTGTCCCGGGAAGGCCCATGGGGTCCTGCTTAGTTACAGAACCACCCCGCCTGTAACTTGGTCGTTCTTCCAGACAGAATCACCTAAGGACCTACCTCTGGTGTTTGGATTTGGGGTGCGTCCCCATTGCAATCGCCTGGGTAAAATCAGCTTCCTGACTTGGTGTTTTACCTTTGACAATGTGTAAAGCATGACTTCTGATCTTCTCTCTTCTTTAACAGCCATTTCCACGCCTTTCCCTGGTCCAAATGTATTTCTCTCTCACCTTCCTGAGGCTTCTCATCCCAGTTTTAAACCACTCTCCACCCAGCTGTTGACGTCCAAAACCTTTCTCCTTTCCCCTACTTCCCACAACCAATGCATCAGCAAATCCCCTCCATTCTGTTTCCAAAACATAATTTGACTCTGTCCATTTCTCTCTGTAATCACTGCCATCACCTTATTACAAGCAAAGGTAACTTCGATGGATCCCTAAATACGCTTCTTTAGTTCATTCCCTATGCAGTAGATTTGGGTTGGGGCAGGTGGAAGAATTAGTGTCCATGTGCTGTTGTAATGTTACCAAATGATACATTAGAGAGAATAGACCTAATTTGAGGAAATGAAAGATTATTCTTTCCAATAATTACTTTATTATTTTAAAATCAAGTTCTATATATTCCTTGTGAGAAAAATGTTTATCTCCACTTATCATGACTATCTTCTGTGTAAATCGTATAAATCAGTTAGTGCTTTGCTAATTTGGGCTTTTTAAAAAAATCATTATTGAATTTCATTTTTATTCATCAGAGAAAAGAAATTCACAGCTATCTCTTTGGGGTGTCTATCTTAAAGTATTGACCAATCCCTTTGATCAGAGGAGTTAATTTTATTTTTAAGTTTCAGAGAAAGATTAATCCACAACCTTATTGAAATTGTTTTGTTCATTTTTTAGGGGGAAGTGATTATATTCTTTTTTTTTTTAAATTTTTAATGGAGGCAATGGGGATTGAACCTAGGAAATTGTGCATGCTAAGCACACACTCTACTACTGAGCTATATCCTCCCCTGCTGAAAATGTTTATACATACTAATGGTTGAGAACCCTTGTATACTGCTAAGTGCATGTGCTTCACCAGAAAGAGAAAGAAAAATATCATATGATATCGCTTATATGTGGAATCTTAAAAATAGACACAAATGAACTTACAAAACAGAAACAGACTTACAGACATAGAGAACAAATTTATGGTTACCAGGGGGAAAAAGGGCTAGGAAGGGATAAATTGGGAGTTTGAAATTTGCAGATACTAACTACTATATATAACATAGACAACACATTTCTACTGTGTAGCACAGGGAATTATAGTCAATATCTTGTGCATTACTAACCCTGCTGAGTCTTAGTTGCCTTGTCTGTAATATTAGGATAAAAACAGCATCTCCATCATAGTTATTGTAAGGATTAAATATGACAGTGTATATAAGGTGCAGTGTAGTATAGTGTGTTACACGTGTGAGCCCTCAATAAATGTAATAAGACCTAATACATGTAAACTGCTTACTACATGCCAGGCACCGTTCTATGCACTTTACATAGATGAATATATTAAATGCTGGAGTTTAATCCCTCCTTGTGGAGACTTTAAGCATCACTTAAACTTTACATCTTTGGAGAGAAATCATCAAAAGTAGCTGATGGGAATGATGCAGTTACAAAAACAATGCAGAAGATAGAAGGGGGAAATTTTCAGAATCATTTTCTTGATGAGGAGAGCAGATGGCACGTAGTGCACAAATGGAGAGACGGGAGTCACACGTAGCAGCAGGATGGATGCAAAACAGTGGACGGGCTGTTGGAAGTGAGAGTTCTCTTCTGACTGCTTCTCCTCTCTGGCTGAAGTTGGAAGCCAGCTGATAGGATGTTGTGAGGTTTAAGAAGAAAAGAGAATAGGAAATAATTATTTTCAGTGGAGAAGGTGAAGGGCTAGGGAAATGCATTAGGATTTCTAGGTAGCCCCAAGGACCCACTAGAGAGCAGTGGTCCTGAATTTTAGTTGAGACCACTCCGCATAGCTAAGGAAATTAAGACTCAGCAGGGTTAGGCAATGTGCTGAAGGTTTCACGGCTCATGAGTGGCAAGACCTGTTTGGTTCTAAAGCCACATTCAGCTGCTCAGGCACAGACACTGAATAGGTACAGAATAAGCTGTAACCTAGGCTGGAGTGAGCATAGATGTAAAGGAGTATGATGGTTGACCATGGGATTAAACCTGAATCTGGAGGGTGAAGAACAGTGGAAAGATAAGAGGATCAAAGTACTGAGGTCTGGGTAAGCATGTGAGGATTGTTGGCGTCAAGATACAGGAGGGACCAAGCTGAGAGGAGGAGGTGGCTGAGGGTGAAACTGAGCTTAGGCTGTTATTGGTTGCAGTTATTGGCAATGAAAAGGGCTCACCTATGATCATGGGAGAGAATGGTTGGAGTAGGGTAGAGGACGGGGCCGCTGGAGAGCTAGAGGTCAGCGGAGCCAAGAAGCCAGGCACCCCAGGTGCTTTTTCGATGTCCTAGTCATATCTCCTTGACCTACTTCTGGTTTCAGCAGCAGCTATGGTAGAAGACCTTTCAGACTTCCCCTGACATCTTCCCACCTGAAAAGGGCCCCCTCCTTCTGCTTCCGACTCAAGGTCTTCTCTTAAAGCCCAGGAGCCGCTAGGTTCACAAACAAGTACAAAGTACAGCAAGGATGGGGAAGGTAAGCTTCAGGGAACCACCTCCAACCAGCAGGGTTGGAAGCCTGTGAGTAAGCGCCCCAGCCTCCAGTCCTTAGACGGACGCTTTTGTGGGACACTCAGGATGCTTCCCAGAGGTCTCATTGGACTTGAGTCCCCCTCCCTTTTTTTTTCACGGTAGTGACCTTGAAGCCACACCTTTACAGAGGCTTTTCCTCTTTCCCTATATCCTATTCTCCTTGCTCCCTGGTTCCTGCTTCCCGGGTTATCTCCCAAGCCCTTATTTCAGGGTCTACCTTCCGAAGAAACCTTACTAAAACACTAGGTTACTAATAAATCTTCTGTGGATATTGAAATCGCCAAGAATTATGAGAGGAGTCATGTTGGAGAGAATGATAGTGAGTCAGGATGTAAATTAAGGAATGAAGGAGAATGACCGGGGGACAGGGGTCAGTACACAATTGTGACAAGGAGGGTGACTGGATGGAGATAGTCCACTGACACCGGACTTAAAGCTGAGTGCTTTTAGGGCACAGGGGAAGAGGAGGATTTGGAAGCAGCAGTGGGGAGCAAAGAAGACCAGCACATGAACTCCAGGCCCAGTGGTACATCAGAAGGCAAGTCAGAGGTTTTAACTCCGGGATCCTTAACCTTGCGCTCTGGTACCCTCCAGCGACCACTGTTGGGCTTGCGGCCACTGCGGTGGAAGTGTTCAAAACTGCATCTCACTAGCTCCCCCCGTGGTACGTCAGTTAGCTACAGTGGCAGGAGCGGCCATCCGGGGTCCCATTGACTTTTTGGCTCAAGGGTGATTTAAAAGACCCTGAAAGGAACACACATAATTGCACCCCAACACTTGTAACATCTGTTTTATTGTCTATAATTACACATTCACTTTTCCAATAATAGAAACAAAAAAGCCTTTATCTTGCCTGATTAGTGCTAAGCAGCAAAAAGGTTGTTGGCCAATTGTTAACACGTCATTCATGCGATCACTTGCAAACTTCAACTAATTAGAGTTTCACTTTTAAATCCTACTAGTACTTTTAGTTCAAGCTACTGTCTTTTAAAATCCTTATTTTAAAATTCTCAGTTTAGACAATTTACAAGATAAGGAGAGACTATGAAAGTAACACTGTAGTAATGGAATTTAGAAGGTTATCTTCTACATGAAACTCAGTTTTTTAATTTAATTAAATCTGAAGTGAATTGTCACAATATTTTTGCTGTGTCAAAGCAACCTAGTAATTATAGGACAACAGATGCGTCCTGCTGTATTTTTGCTTAGTAACTTAGTACTTATAAAAAGAACATATCCCCAGGCATCACAAATCTAGGCAATGAGATCATATCAATATTAATAATAATAATAATTAATTAATCAATATTAATACTAATTTTGCCACTTCTTCCATCAGCCTTCACTTCTGCCCCCTCACTTTTTTTTGTTTTATTTTGTTAGTCTCCAGGGCTTGCTTCAAAATGTTCATATCAACTCCGCTTGGAATCTTCAGCTCCATCACTTAGTTGAGAACCTACAGCAACGTATTAGTGATTTCAGAGAATACATGTACTTAGAGATGCTAATTAGGGGCCAGTTGAGAACATAAGGGGACAAACGGGGCTTAAAATATTTAAATCATGGTGGTAAAGCTATCCTGGAGAATACGTCTCGAAAGGGAGAGCGAGAGTTGTTTTTTCTTCTCTTCCCTCTGAATAGAACTTCCCTACTTAGTTGTAGGTGGAGCAGCTAGAGAACTACAAACCTCCTTCAACTCTTGCAGCCTAGAAGGGACCAGAGCCTGGAATCTACCCACTAGAATGCACAAGAATCAGCTTGCACTAGCAGGGACATCCTGTGACAGTTCTCTTTGATACGATTTTCCCCAAATTGATTTGTATATTCAGTAAAATTACAGCAAAATATATAATCTTTTTTAATAAAAACTTGACAAGCCAATTAAAAATGTATCTGAGATAAAAATGTGGAAGAACACCAAAAAATAATTTAAAGAAAAGAGGGCTTGTGCAACTACACATCAACCCACAGTACTTTTTCAATGCTGGGTGTTTTTTT